CCCTAATGCTTATGAATATGGAAGAAATCACCTAGAATTTTTTTTGCTATAGGATTTGAACCATGTCTCCCATGATTCTCGTTTCATTTATTGACCACTAGGCCACACCCCTGGTGCAACTACACTTGCATTTCTTTCAACATTATACACATGTGTGTGCTGTGTGGTGTTATTCACCAAGACACAAGCTTTATGCTTCAAGTTCCTATGGCTGCTTGTTTACAGTTGAACACACTACATATTAATATAATACTAACTAGATCACTCACAGCATAACATTTAGTATACATGGTTCAACACCAGATATTCATATAATCCAATATATAAACAAACACAAAAATTGCACTTAAAAAAAACTCACTCATTGTCTTCTTAGGCTTTGAATCACCATTCTGACTTATTAGATAAAGAGACTCTTTCAAATCCTTATACACGACACCAGCTACCATCGTCTTGCTCTCAATCTCATCAGCTTCCCTCACCTTCATCAATCTGTCGTTCAACTCATGCAACGAAAACCAACCTTTCTCCTCCTTCTTTATCGGCCTCAACATTTTCAACTTCTCTCCTAATTCACCATGCCTATAATTCCTAGTTAACTCCATCTTCATCCCTTCCTTATCACCCTCTTTATCCCTCATCATCTCCTTCCGATAAAAAGATGCAGGCAAATTCCCACTCCCACCAATCACCATTCCCGACCTTTTCACATCTTTACCCATATCAGGTCTCAACTTAAAACTCTCCGTATATCGCGAAAGTGATAACGATTCATACAACTTCCCTCTACTCTCATTCTGGCTGTTATTGTAGTTGTTATTCACGCTTAAGTTACGCAGGCTTGCACTAATAGCATTGAACCCAACATTTCCAGTTGGGGGTGGTCTCTGATTCGCATTGTAAGGAACTTCAGACCTGACATTATTGACATTTCTTTGATATAGTTCTTGAAATGACTGAGGTGATGGTGCTGAACCAGAACGGCTACGGAATCCTGCAAGGCTTTTTCTTACTTCGTCAAAAGCTGAAGCTTGTGAAGATGGGTTTTGGGGATTATTGACAATAGATGAAAAAGAGAATGGTTTAGGTGTAGGTGTTTGGTTGGGCTCGGATGTAGGTGTTTCGGTGTGTTCAGGATTCGGATTTGATGTAGAAGAAGAAGAAGAAGAAGAAGAAGAAGAAGAAGAAGAAGAAGAAGAAGAAGAAGAAGAAGAAGAAGAAGAAGAAGAAGAGAAGAACTTTAGTTTTGGTTCAGAAAAGTGTTTGAGTTTCGGGCGGAATTGAAGAAGCTTTGTGGTTGTCGCCATCGTTGAGCCTCTTGGAGGTTTAAGGTTTTAGGGCTTCTTTTGTTTCTTCAGGGACGATGGGAACTTGGGAAGAAAAAATAAATTATTTTTCTCTTTGTAATATAAAAAAATTAATATACACTCCGTCGAGTTTAAGTGGCACTTATTCGAATTTTGAGATTCAAATAAGTTTATGCACAAATTTCTCATCAAATTTAAATTATTTGACTCTTGAAAAACAAAATGTCATATAAATGAGGACAAAAAGAATAATATATTAACTAAAATTAAATATTATAAAATCATCCAAATCATATCGGTTTGTTTTCCGGATCTAGGTTTATCTTTGAAAAATATTATAAAATATATTTATATATTAAATTTAATATATGATTAATATATAAATATATTTACAATTCGGTCCGAATTCTTTTTAAATTTTTATGTAAATTAAAAAGATCATCTAAAACTCCATAATTTTATTAAAAAAAGAATATAAATCATTTCTATACTATTAAATTTAAGGAAAAGACTCATCCATTTAAAAAGTTTTGGAGGATAGAGATTAGATGTTTGTTGTATTCCTTTTTTTTAAGCTATTAAAGGGAGAAGTGAAGTGCAGAAAATAAAGACTCCATTTTTAGGCTAATTTGGCCAGAGATTTCTTTGAGGTTTGTCAGTATTTCCGTTTCTCTTTCATTTTCATTTTCTGGGTAATGTTCCATTGTGGGTTAAAAGTATTATTTTTTTCCACTTTGATTTTTGTTGAATAAAGTTTTTCTTGCTTGTTAGTTAGTATTACATCATACAAATCCTGTTTTCATTTACTTTAATCTTTGAACTAATAGAGTAACTTGAGTTCAGGAAGAGAAAAGGGGTTTTTTTATTTGAACATTTCATTTAAAGACTTGAGTTTTTTTTTCCTACTTTGATTATAATTTTATATTGTTAATGACTATTGTTTTGGTTGTCTATATTATTTTGATATGACTGTCTTCATTTCTGTTATTTTTTTCTCGGTACTGCTTTGGACTGTTTTTTTCTTGAGTTGAGGGTCTATCGGAAATAGCTTCTTTGCCTTCCAAGGTAGGGGTGAGGTGTGGTTATGTTGGTAGAAATGATGTTTTTAACCTTTTCAATAAACAGTGGCTATCAGATAGGGAATGAGAATGGAGCCAGGATTTGAAGCGTATGGGTTTGGGATTCTAGTCCATTTTAAGTTATTGGGTTCTAAGTTAATAAATTGTACATGTTCAGTGGATTTCTAAAGACAAATACAAGATTTGGACCAAAGCTACGGGGTGCGGCCGAACTTGTAAGCGATACTCTAGCTCCTCTTCTGATGAGCACTTTGATGATAATTTATAGGTTTGTTAAAGTAAATAAAGTTTAAGATTGTATAGAAAGTTGGCTTGTCATATAGCTTTGCCTGATCCCAGACCAATTAAGCAAGAACTACAAATAAAGGACCTAGGTAGTAGGTACCCTATGACATATTTTAAACCGTGGAGTAGGTGCCGGGCATCTGGAAGATAGATACAAGGGGAAGTAGAATAGATGAGTGATAAGATATTATGGTGAAAAATCAATGGTCTGAGTAGTGTAAATTCCTGGTTCGAACAGTTTGTGGTGGAAAGCTATAGAAACTTGGTAGGTGTGTATGAGTGACGAGAAAGACGAATAGGAACCTATACGAGGTAATTGCAAGAAATGTTTCACCAGGCAGATAAATGATTGTCCCTCATCATGGATTTGGTTTAGATGTAAGAATGCAACGCTGGATGCTTGAGTAGAGCGCACGTCACGAGCTAGAACCTTACTGTTGACTGAATTTTTGTATTTAAGTGGGGGCTGAATAGAGAAGAGGGGCATATTCCAATCACCCTCTTTCAACCACAAACATTTGGACTTTTGTCTCCATGAGGCCTCCTCTGCTTTGGCCAACCTCTGAATTTCCAGTTTGAGATTCAAAATCTGAGATTTTTCCTCTTGAGTCTTCATTCTGCCTTCAGTTGCGTGCTCAAGTATTAGAAGTTCATCCAACGCTTTGCTTGCCCTGACTTCCACTTTCCTCTTTATTCCATTTGCTGATATCCCTTTTCAAGTGTTTCAGTTTTTGAGCTAGTATGTAATCTGGGGAACCATTAACATTATAGCTCTGCCACCATTCTTTGACTTTCTCAGTGAATCCATCATGTTGTAACCACATATTCTCAAATTTAAAGTATGACGGATTAGAAGACCAGTCACCACTCTCCAATACTATACGTCTATGATCAGAAGTTACTTTTGGGAGGGCAAGCTGATTCACAGCTCCAAAGTTGTCACTCCAGTCGGTAGAAATCAGAAATCTATCTATTCTGGAGGCTTGAGTTGAATCCTCACTCCTGTACCAAGTGTAGTGAGCACCTGAAGAGGTAAATCAATCAACTCCATGTCCTGAATAAGATCTGAAAAGTTCCTCATTGCTCTTGATCTTCTAATGCAATTAAACCTTTCATGTTCGATCTACAGACATTAAAGTCTCCTCCAACTACCCAGTGATCAGTCCATAACCCTCTAATATCAGCTAATTCATCCCAAAAATCTGTTCTTTCCCAATTTGAATGTGGCCCATATACACCAGTAAAGCACCATCTGAGATCTCCCTGTAACCCTTCAAACATTGCAGTGATAGAGTATGTGCCTCTCAGAAAATCTATGTGATTTCATTGCCTTTTATCCCAGAATATTTTGATACCTCCGCTCCTTCCGTATGATATAAATTCCACCCAGTCGACCCATCTAGATCCCCAAATCTGTGTTGCTATAACAATAGACCATTCTTCAATTTTTGTTTCTTGTAGACATAAAACATCTGGCTTCCACTTCTTGACCAACGATTTAATGTTGTCTCTTTTTTTATTGTCGTTAAGCCCTGCACATTCCAACTTATGATTTTCACTTTCATTTGGACAGTGCTTTGAGTTTCTTACCCTTCATGATTCTTCCTCCCTCATTATGGACCCCTTTGTCATAGTTGACAGTGCAAATCAATTTTTTCACCTCACCATCCCCCTTTCCCTTGGAACTTTTTGCGTCTTTCTGTTTCTCCCGTTGTTGCTGAAGTTGTAATTTTCTCTTCTGCTCCATACGTAAGATCATCTCCAGGATCTCGTGTTCGAACCCATTTACGTTCACCCCAAAGGCCTTGCATGTTTTAGCCGTAACAACCTTTGTATACTGTGCATTAGTGACAATAGTTAAGAGGGCAGAAAGTATATCAGGTCAAATAACCAAGAGTGAAGGAATTATTCTAATGAGAATTTCATTAATAGGACAGTGGCACTATGGGATTTCCTGAAGTTGTACAAAGTTAGAGTATGACTGTATGGAGCTTACACAAAATACATCAAATGGTCAATTTTACAAGCTCAACTTTTCCAGAAAATAATAGTGGTCAATCTGGGATTAGGGATTTGTATCCTTACTTACAAGTATACAGAGTGATTGAAACTTGATGTTGAAAAATTTTCCCCTAGTAATATCCTTCTATTCTTTCAGACCAGATATTCTCCAAATTCTAATGTATTTTTCCGATGGCCGAACTGTTCCAAGTCAAGATTATATCTTAACTGGCCGGAGCTTACCTTATCCATGCTTCTAAGAGAAAACTAAATCCCAATATTTAAAAGTCCATAGCCAATGTGTTAAAATATGGTTACCTTTTTAACAAAAGATGCAGGACTAAACATGGATCCATTGCCTCTTTCTTCGGTTGTCACTGGTCAAAGGTGCTTCCAATGCAGCTTTCCTTGCAAAAGGTTGTCTCTTTACTTAATGAAGAGGGTGTTTGGATTGGCTTATTTTAAGTGCTTTTGGCTTTTAAGCTCTTTTTCTATTTTTTGTGGTTTTGGGAAAGATAAAAAAAAATGCTTTTAAGCACTTATTTTTAGGCCAGAAAGTACAAAAATAAGCTAAAAGTTGTGTATGACCAACTTATAGCTTTTATAACTTATAAGCTGTTTTGGAAAAGCCAATCCAAACACCCTCGAAGTCTTCCAGAATATACTGCAGGAGGTTCAGCTATGTTAACCAGTCATACCATTATGGAATGAGTTAACTTCCGTCTGCATCTTTGCTCCAAAAATGATCTGCAGCACCTTGTCAACAAACTCAACGTTAGGAAAAAGTGGAAGATGAAACAATAGAATCCACTTCTCGTTCGCTCTTAAACAGTATTGCAAATAATTTTGCCTCCTCATAGAGACCCATATGTCTATCTCTGCTTTTTGGGACATCTACTAGTTGTAAGAAACATATTTTACGATTACTCTTACTTCCGCACTACATTATCATATTTGGACTTTCTTTTTACCCATGTAAACTGGATTAACTCATTTCTAATAGTTTTTGACTTATTTCAAGTTAGTCAAATGTCATTGTTTATCTACTTTGGTAAGATCTCACAACCTACAGTCTGACCATGAGATTTCTTAAGACAAACCCACCCAAGATTTTGATTCTAAGAACTTTACGTATAAATCCACAGTTTGTTTAAGGAACACTCTCACCAACCATAAACCATGTAAATTGTGATTCCATATACAGTTGCATGAGTTGCACTTGCTTGATGATTAGAAGTAGAGGCCTTATGTTGTAGAAGCTAACTGAGTGCATCAAATTAGTTTCCTAAGCACTTCCTTTTTTATTTGTTCTTTTGCAGGTAGTTAAACTTACCCACAGACTATTGGCTGTTGATTGCTTCTCTTATGTCCAATCGGATGGTGCTTAGCTACACCAATTCATTTGCATTATTTCAACCTAAATTTAATGGCCATTCCATTCCCTCCATATACCACACAGATGTGTTATCCTTGACGAGGCATGTGTCTTCCGCAACTGCTCTCTCCTTTTGTCAGCTTCAGGCATCAAAACTTCATGATAGTCCAGTTACTGTTGCAAGTGATGTTAGATATGGTAGTAAACAGATTATAAGTGTTGATTCGCCACTGTATGACTACATATTGACCAATGTTAGAGAACCAAAGGTGAATGCTCTGGTTGCAATCCCATAGTAATTTGAGAAGAGAATCAAACGTGGGGAAAACAAAGATTAAAAGAAAA